GCGGAGTCACCTTTTCCCTGTCAACACTCTCCCCCCCTCCTACGCCGCCCCTTTCCAAGCGTGTCCGGGGCCGCAGCAGCAGAAACTGCATCTTCTCTACCCCACATTCTCCACGCGGGACCCGCAGCCGTGCCTACAACTGTTCTTAAAGCAGAGGTTGTAGAGGGTGTGGGGGGCGATGGGAGGCGGGCTCGGGAAAAGGCATGGAACGGGGAAGGGCGCTGCGCCGCTAGCCTCGCGTCTCTGGGCCCTTTCCCGCCGCACCGCGATCCCCGCGCCGGCCACGCCCCGGCTGGAGGGCGGCCGCCCGGGAGTAATTGGCGTTTACAGTGGAGGGTTGGAGGGGAGGATGGTCGTGTGTGGCGCAGGCTCGGCTTGGCGCTCAGTTTCTCCGCGGAGTGAGGAATTGACTGTTGACTCCTCCCAGTTGGCGGGTGGGCGTGGGGCGAGGGGAGCTGGGCAGATGAGCTCCCGGGTGTTGGTGGTTTGTGCTAAGAGAAGCGTCTTGAGTCATCTAGGTAGTGGTAGGAAGAATCCTTATAGAAGGAAGTTGTTGCTTAAAATTTGTAAGGTAGGTAGTAAGTAGAAGTGTAGTGTCAAGAAAAAGGAAAAGATCGACTCTGTTCTACCTGGGAGAGCCCACGGCTGTGACCTTGCGGAAATTAATTACCATTTTTGCCTCGGTGTTCTGGTCTGTAAAACGGGGATCTTAATAGCCTAACTCAGAATTATGAGGATTATATGATATAATACACATTTAACGCTTCGAACAGCGCCAGGCACTGCTAGCTGCAATTAATTTTGGTCGCTAGGTTTTAAGAAGTTCAGAATGTTATTTTATAAATTAAAAATCAGGAGACTTAGTCTGACAAGTGAGAGTGAAGTTGTGGGGACATATATATGATTATTGTATCCGTGGACAAATTAGCCTATTTCCATGAGGTTGATGGAAACTTTAAACTATTTCCTTCCAAAGAAATGAGTATTTATTTGGAAGAGGTGGGTTTGGGGTTTTCGTATACATGAGGAGCAGAACCTTGGAAAAGGGATTAAATTAGGACTACAGAGATTTACTTGAAGATTCAATTGAAGACAGATTGATAGAATTCTAGTGAATGTTCTAGATAGACTAGATTTGACCGAATGTGAGAAACAGTTTTGTAAAGCTACTTTGCAAATATAGAATGCACTTCTTTGTGCTATTGCAAATTTCTTGTCTGTGGGGATATTCAAGCAAAGTGTGCCTAGGCCTAAGGCGCAGTGTCCAGTAGAACTTTCCGCCATGATGGAAATGTTCAATAAACTGTGCTGTCTAGTATAGTAACTAGTGTCCGCATGTTGCTCTTGAGCATTTGAAAGGTGGCTACTGTGACTGAGCAACCTGGTTTTTAATTATAATTTAAATTTAAATAGCCCATGTAGCTAGTGGCTACCGTATCGGACAGGGTAGATATATAATCTAAACTACTATGCGACTCCTTCCAGTTCTTGATTTGGTGGGGTTTGAATCGGAGAAGCCAGCTCGTGGAACATTTATTGCCTTAGGGAATCATAATTAATATTCAAATAATGCCTCATTCAAATTCTGCAGCTCAAAACATGAGTCTGTTAGTACTTTACAGCTTGCCAAATTAAAGCACAACATTCTTTTGATTCCTAAGTTGTACAGCTAATACCAGATCCGGTTGGAGAGCTAGAACAATACTAACTGAAGTTTTCTTTAATCATTACTGTACTGTATTGTGGTCATGGTTTCCACTATCCTTTATCACTTTGATTAATTTTCAGTGAAAACTTTTCAATTCTTTTATTCTTGAATTTTTTTTTCCATTTGAAAGATAGTGCTTTTTTTTACCAAACTTTTTGTACAATAAAGCAATTTGATAAATTATATGGCAACCTTCAGGCACTGGGCCAATTTGGAAGTAATTTTGTGGTTGTCAGTATTCAAAACTTTTGAGGAGATCTAAGTCTGAAATTTGTTGAATAGTGTTTCACAAGATTTACGTTCTTTGAAATATATGGATCTGTTTTTCCTTTTCAAGCAAGTGTTTATAAAGTTAAGTTTGAAAATAGAATTTTTTAAACTTTATTTTTAGCTGGCCTGATGTCTATAAAATGGTGCCCTTGGTCTCAAGGCTGAAGGTAGTCATCAAATCTGGAACAAGAACTTAAAACTCATGAATTAAGTCATATACATAGAATAGTCCATAACATACAAATTGTAACAGGTTGCTCTTATACAGGGTGACACTATGCCTCAATTTTTCTGGGACAGTTGTGATTTAATCCCAGATCAAAAATGTCCCCATTTGGGGTCATATAGTAAATAGTGTGATCACTCTAGTTTTAGGTTTGTTGAAATGTAACATACAGCTATACATGATTATCATAACATTTAGGAAGGTTAACAGTATTGCAATCCCAGAAGTGTACTTGCTTTCAAGTAGTGACAAAGTTAATGCTTTTGTGTCTAAGTAATAGATGAGACACCTGGAATAAGGCCAGTAAGTGACTTGTCCATTTAAGCCACCTGTAATTTAAAAGTACTTGCTTTTCTCTTTATTAAAACAAACAAACCCGTTGCCGTTGAGTCGATTCCGACTCATAGCGACCCTATAGGACAGAGTAGAACTGCCCCGTAGAGTTTCCAAGGAGTGCCTGGTGGATTCAAACTGCCGACATTTTGGCTAGCAGCCATATGGCTCTTAACCACTACGCCACCAGGGTTTTCTTTCTCTTTATAACTGTATAGATACCTTGGGCAGATTAATTTTTGGTCTTAAAAAAATGACCTTTGGGTGTAGGAGGCTGCAGAAAAAATTAGGCCTTGCCTGTCATATTCAAAGATCAAGTATTCTTGTTGAAAATAACAGCCATTTTATTTTATGGTGAGGTTGAGGAATTAAATCAGTCAGAAATCTGTTTATTATGTATTAGAATGTCAAAGAAGGATTTTGCTTATAGTTCACACAAATAATAAAGAGAATTAATTCCACCAAATGCATTGTTGTATTAATTGAATTTATACTGTCGTGGTTACAATATTTAATTGGGAGTTAAACACACTTGGTTTGAGTCCTCACTCTGATTCTTTCTAATCATGTGATTTGGGGCAAGTTATTTAACCTTTCTATGAAGGCTGTTTCCTCATTTATAAAATGAAGATAGTAATAGGTCCTACTTCTAGATTCATGTGGGTTAAATGAAGTAACCACATGATGTGTTGGGAACAGCACAGCACACAAGAAGTAATGAGGTGCGGAACCCCTTGCAGTAAACAATTCGGTCTTTGGTCCTGGTTCCTGCGAGCAGGACCACACCCTTAGTGGGGGACTACCCGGGCTAAGAAGGATCACCTGGGAACTGATGCTGACTAAGCCTCAGGAGGCCATGTGGTGAGGCTAATAAAGGCCTTGGAGGATGGAGGCTCACTGGAGCTTCTAGGTTGGAAGGGCTGAACAGTCTGCTTTTGGAAGGTAAGTCTGTCCCCTGGGGACGTGGAAGCCTTGAGCCAAGACCCCTCCGGATCTCCTCGTTGTGTTTGTATCCTTTTCCCTTCTAGATTAAAGATAGCCCTTTCCCTGTAGTTGTGAGTTGTTCCATTGGATTATCAGACCTAAGAAATAGAGAAGGAACTGGTATCGCCTGGCCTGGCCCCTGGTGAATGGGGATGAGAGAGAAAGGGCTGAGTGGAACGGCTAGGGTCTGAACTGACCAGGGAAGGGAAGCTGAGATTTCCCTTGTCTGCCTTGATATTGCAGAAATACTTGATAAATATTAGCTACAATAGCCTTATGTTTATTAAATAATAGCTCTAGAAGAGCTATTAATTTTCTGAGATGCATTGTAGGTAGGTGCAGAGAGCACGTAAAACTAATTCTGAAAACCAAGGTTTTGTCCTTTTTCTGCCATATTCTCTCTTCGGGATTTTGGTTAAGATATTTAACTTTTCTGAGCCTCAGCTTCCTCACCAGTAAAATGGGACCAGGAGCTAACCTCATTCCACCTCTTCATAGGATTGTTGGTGGGCATGAAATGAGAATTACATTTACAAATTGTCTTATCTTTACAAACATCTTTGTTTTTAAGTGGTTTTGCCTCGTCTGTCTACTGTGTGCCATTGAGTCGATTCTGACTCATAGCAACCCTATAGGACAGAGTAGAACTGCTCCATAGGGTTTCCAAGGCTATAATCTTTATGGAAACAGATTGCTAGATCTTTCTCCTGCAGAGTGGCTGGTGGGTTAGAACCGCCAGCCTTTTGGTTAGGAGCTGAGCACTTAACCACTGCGCCATCAGGAATCCTTGTCTATTTACTACCTTCAGTAAAGACTGACCCCAAATCTTTATAAAATTGTTGTATGTTTTAATTTATATACCAGTGGAAGTAGAGTATAATAAGCACTATCACCAAAGTCTGTCCTCTTTGACAAATATATTTTAAAGATGACAGTAACGGTGCTTTATTGATCTGGTTACAATATATTCTCTACAGACAACAACTCCACACTACAGATAAGGAGTTCCCAACATTTTCTTGGGCACTTGATGTGTTCCATCCACTGTACTAAATACTGTATCTCATTTAGTTATCCAAACAGATCATACCCATTTAACAGGTGATACTGATGAGGCTGTTAATTTCAGGAATGGGTCTATTAGGGTTTTTTGCAGTATACTGCTGCCTCTGATAATACCGCTCTGAAAGTACAATGGATATTGAAAGTTAAGTAAGGTAATGAGTATGAAAGTAGCATGCTGTCTGACATATAGTATGTGATAGGTACTGAAAAAGCATTATATTCACTGAATTCACAGGAACGTAAATTGAAATAATTTATGTAAATGTACTTTATAAACTGTAAAATACTGTACAAATATAAATTACCTAAAAAATCTTGAAGCGTGTGCTTTTACTATTTTAAGTGCTGTAGAGGTTGTATGACTGAATCCTGAAAATTTCACTTTATTCATGTAATTTGTCTTTGAGTCTTTAAAAGACCGTTCCTAATCATAATGTTTTTTCTTTGAGAATATACAAAATATTTAATGATAATCCTTTGTGATGCGTTTTTAAGTAGTTATACTTTTGGTCCTGTTCATCATCATCATCATTGTTAAACATGAACTGAGTGCTTTCTATTGTAACAGGC